ACGCTTTGAAGAATTGCTCTTGTGAGTATGTGATTCATATAAGTTTCTTAAAATAAAAAAACCCTATTAAAATAATTTGGTAAACTGAATATCCAATATTTATCGATAAATTAATTGTAAACCGATTACGAGATTGAGCTCATTTCAAAACCCTGAAGCTTTAAAACAAAGTTGACCTTAATCATGAAGAGTAAAACCATTTTTTCACTAAAACTCGCGCAAACCATTCGAGGAATCAGCAATCCAATAGCGACAGGCACACGTCTATATTGTGTTACATTGTAAATTTCCGTGCTGCTCTTCGAGTACTTTAACGGCGCAGTGGCAAAAAGACTAAATATCTAATAGCAAGAGATTATATTTCTCATCGATAATGACGCACCATGAAGTTGAGTGCCCGCGTTATTTTCACCGTATCTCCACTTTTCCTTGGGGTAAACCATCGGCGCAGCAATTCTCCGACACTGACGCGTTTCTGAAAATAAGTGTGCACACAAGTCGCACCCCCAAACGTTACTATTGACAAGGTCGAATCGGTAGCCGAGGCGTATCACTCTGTCTTCTCTGCCCTGCCATTAGCAACAAAATTAAGCCGATCTCGTGGAAGTAGCCTTTTCACATGCTCGGCGTTCCTTTTGCAAAAAACATATTGGCCCTTTTTATAGGCGTCAAAGAGTATTTATTTGATTTTTATTATATCGTAACTAATTGCTTTTACAGAAGTTGTAGTAACGGGATATTTTTATAAAACAGGTTCTTGCACGTGTCATATCATATTGTTGAATACAATTAAATTTTAAGGCTGAATTTGCATAAACGCCATTGTTGCTCTATTTAGGGCTCATTTCATTGTACAAGAACATTACATCCATATAAATACTTGTAAATATATCGCTTTTGCAATTTTCTATACGTTTCACGTTTCATTGCATAAAATGCTGGTTGAAGCAGTATTCTAATTGTCTTATATGACTAATTATTCAAAAGGCACGATAGTTTTTAAACAAATATAACACAATATCAATTTTTCAACGTAAATATTTTACATAATTAACACATAATGCACGAACTTATATAAAATCATAATGACAGTTTTAATGTTGAGTGTACTTGCCATAAAAGACAAGACAATGTATAAAATTTACTGGTAATGTTAATAATGAAAATTCATCAAAAATTTTGAGAAACAATATGGCAACAAGTAGTGCAGATTAACATTGGAGATTGAAAAACACCTAGAAACACTGATCGTAATTATTCGTAATGGATAGTTTCAAGTTGAAAAATATATGCAGAAATACGAGCTTGGTTGGTGAGCGTAGGGTGATATGACCTTCCATCGTAAAATGTTCGCTCAACAAAACTCAAGATCTCGTAAAAAGATAATGTAATGGGTTATTGGGTCGAGTTTGGATTATTTCGCGAAGTTGTCCAGAAAGGGGAGGTGGAGGAGGGAGGAGGAAGAGGAGGAGGAGGAGGAGAAAGTCAGAATGAAACAAAGAACAGTTGCAAGTAATTCTCTGGTATAAGTCACTGGTCAAGTTCAACCTTTAACGATTACGAGCGTTAAGAAAATATCCAGAGTGAATCATTCGCACCGCACGCAGCATGAAATCGTTACGTGTCTTAGCGCTTACGCGCATTCAAACAAAGTCGAGATGATCACCGACGTTATTGCATCCCTTCACGCAGCCCAATCCCTCCACCCATTCATCTTGAATTAATTTCATTGACTAATCGAGTAATCGGACGAAGGCGTTCTCTTAGCTTCATCCCCCTGTAATCGCGCCCTTTGCAACGGGATAAAATTTGGTAGACCTTTGTTCGTTTATTATGATAATATATGATCTCGCAAGCTTATATACACTGTTATCTCACACGCACGCACACGCGCGCATAAATTTTAAGTAAATGTTACTGCTACGTGTTCCTTTTATCCAAAAATATATTCAGAAAATTTTAGATATTATTAAATGACTATGAATTCGAAAAATGTATTGAGTATTGTGTTTTTATACTTTATCAGTACTACTATATTTATTCAAGTGATTCTTCACTTTAATCAATTATTCAAGCCATAATAAAAAATTATGTTCGATGCACGTGAAACTGATTCCTAATTAATAATATTTATTTCTAATTAACTTATATATATGCTATTACAAAGGCAAAAAATGAAAAGCAATGCAACCACAATTAAAAGCAATGATTAATATTTCCATCTTTATTGGAATATAAACAAGGCATTGTAAGTGCTATTTTCGAAAATGCAGCAACCTTTAAATTAACTTTTGATGAATTACTTTGCTAATTATTGATCTCTCTTTATAGACTCTAATAAAACATCATATATAGAATCACTTTATACATACAACTAATTTGACTATTTTATATACGATGCAGTGTATATAGAGTTTCTAAATTATCTCTAATCAATAGATGTATTTTAGCGCGCGTCACCTATAAATAATGATTAATAGAGGGGCAACTTCAACTTTTCATAATATTTAGGCATCTGTAACTGTATATCACTAATTGGCTTATCACTGTATACATGATATCCTTAATACTTGAGGCATTTATTTAGTATATTCTAAATTAAGATATCAAAGGTGTGATGTGTATGACAGTGTAAATGTATCATGATCATCAATGACAGTACATCTATCTCACTCCCCCCCCCCTCTATGTGATAAAAAAAGTGATTAGTTTTTTCCATCGATATGTTAATATTATTGATTTGAAAAAATCATAAATAAGCCATATATCAACGATAATCGATGTTATTATTTAAAGTAATAAATTAAATATGTTAATGGGAAACTAATCGAGAAAAACAAATACATAAAAATATCTTTTACAATATATAGGAGGAAACAATGTAATTTATAACGTAAGTATGGATTAGACGAATGAAGCCTATACGTGCATATAGACAGTATGAAATAACTACGAAAAATGTACGCAATTGACACGTCATTAGACCATTTTTGTAACCATTTCATAATTACGTTACGCCTATTTAGTAAAAAGCAGTTCTGTATATTCCATTTGTCAGTATATACTTTAACTAATACATATTGCATAAATAGAAGCAAATAGGCATAACATATATTTCTAAATTAAATATTAAGTTATTAATTTAAAAAAAAAAAAAAAACAGTTTCAATTGTAAATACAACAATATTAAATGATATCCTATAGACAAAAATAGTATTGTTAAAGTATATAAGATATTGGTTGATATATTTATAGAATGTATGTGTACATTTTTCTTTAATTAACGAGTATTCATTTTACATCTGCGATAAATTAATGTGATATTTGCTTTGTTTTTATTTTGCTTGAACACTTTATATTATATCGTAGACTCTGCACCTATAATATCAACAATTTTAAAGCTACACATTATCTTAAGAATAATTGATTATTTTACTCGGTACGCAAAAACAGTGAATTTAACATTCACTGTTATAATTATAAAATGACAAAGCTTAATAGACATTATTTTATCTTAACTATTGCCACAACACAATTGCAATAGACATTTATATGATATGGGCTGTAATTTGATGTAAAGTTGATTTTAAATTGTTTTACCATTGCTATTGCTATTGTGCAAGTTTGATGGCATTTTTATTTAACAGAGATTTAATAGAAAAATGCCAATGCCAAGATTTACATGAACAAAACGAAATGAATTTATAACGTTATAACCGTGCTAAGAAACAGTCGACATTATATATACTTTCTTCGAAATTTTCGACTTGACTGTACACGTGGCGTCATAGACTCGCTCGCACACCGGTTTAACTTTAAACACGAAAGAAAGAAAAAAAATAAAAATGTCAGCGGATTAATTGTGGCATGCACATCAAGCATTAACTTACGAAGGAACACATATTACGAATGCCAATATTAGCTGAAATAATTTTAAATGACCGCTATGACAGCACGAAAACACAAAATATTCGCATGGAAGGAGCGTTCGTTCATATCAATAGATTTACGATTAGTGATAGAAATGACAAGGCATTCCTTGCAATGCCTAATGAGCTTATATAAAATATTTATGGGCTATTCCATTGTTGACCAATGTTAGTTTAAAGTGTAAAGCCTCGATAGAGCATTCATAACAATCATCCTACCGACCGATATTAATACACCGATAAGCGGCTAAAAAAAGCGGCTTAAAACCCTATTAGGATAGAGGAGCAATGCAAAGGTCACTCTCAATCGAATCCCAACACATAAATGCCCCAACCCACTACAATGGTTTAATATAACGGCAATCGTGTATTGCTGTAGGTGTTGGGCAGGTTTGTCTCGCCTTCATTTAAACGGCGTCGACAGGCGGGAAGATATTTTTATTCGGAAGTAGTACCCGAGTAAGCCCCCTTGGGCAACGCAGTCTCTTCGCGATTGTACGAAAGGCGGCCCTCCATCGACAATAGCTCACTATAAGTACAACAGGTGCGCGCGACTTACCCGTGACGAGTACGGCCCTGGCTAGGCGTTCCGTTTATGCCTCGACCTAACCTCGTCGAGTTGGAGCTACGGGAAGTCGACGCTCGAGGCCCGTGATCGAGGGGCCCTGGCGCTTCATCATAAAATCTAAACTTTGGCGCGCGAAATTCAAATATCTTGGCTAGCAAGCTAGCCTCGGAGTCACCAGAGCCGACGAATAAACGTACGAGCGATGGCATCAAAGTGGGAGAGGGCCAGACGAGAAGGTAGGGGCCATAAAGTGCGGAGGGGTCACCGTGGCTGTTGCGGTGATTGCGGTAATCCGAAGGGAGGGGGGCGGACGACGAGGATGACGATGACGATGACGAGGGTCGGTGGAGGAGGGAGGGAGGGGGGGACACACAGAGAGAGAGAGAGAGAGAGAGAGAGAGAACGGGGCCAGCGCCCTTTCCTCGACGGCAGAGAAACGGAGGCAGGTGGACGGTTGCCGTGGCGCCGGGGCCGCTTTGACTTTCCAAACGGAGAACACGTACCCCAGCTACTGGCAGTTCTGCCCATGAACGCTCCGGTCTGCGGGTTATAGATGAACTGGCGAAGGGCCTGGCTGACGGACATGCTGGGTGGCTTCTCATAGGGATTCATGGTCTCGCGCGTGGGCAATTTGGCCTCCTTGGCCGTCACCATGGCTGACACCAACTGGGGTTCCTAGGCTGCGGCCACGAGAGAACGAGAGCCACGACACAGGTCCTGTGTCGTCTGCCTATGCGTAGAGACGCGCGCGGATCCCGGATCGGTCCTCTCCGAATTTCCGATCGCTGAGTCTCCGTTAGCTCGAGCACGCGCGACCAGGTCGACTGAGCGGCCGAGCGCAGCTCGAGTCCCGAACAGCCGCTTACTTACTCGCTTAGGCGTTAGCTCGCCTCGGATTCTGTGCGCCTTGTTCGCTATCTCTCTCTCTCTCTCTCTCTCTCGCTCGTTCACTCTCTCTCTCTCTCTCTCTCTCGCTCATTCGCTCACTCTAACTCTCTCTCTCTCTCTCTCTCTCTCTCTCTCTTCCCCCCCCCAACGCTCGGCCATAGACCCTCCCTCCGTCTAAACCTCCGCGCCATACCAAACCACCGCCACCGCCACCGCCACCGTCACCGCCACCGCCACCGCCACCGCCCCGCGAACTAACGGCCATCCGACGCTCCCACGGAGGTGACCAGCCGCGCAATAGCCGCTGGCTGGCCCATACAGGTCCCCTTCTTCCATGCAACCCATCTTGACTCCCTTTTCCACGATTGCATGCATGCGATGCAATATGTGTCACCTACGTGCCCACCTACAGCCAACTGCCTCTGTGTACGACCCTATTGATTTTTACCCGCTTGTATATGTGCTCGGTGGTACCGTCTCTCCCCTGGTTGCCCACGTCACTTTCACTTACTCGCTCTCTTTCTCTTTCTCTCTCTCTCTCTCTCTCTCTCTCTCTCTCTCTCCCTCTCTCATTCGGTGATTCTCGTTTTCACGTTGAATTTCATTCGTACATAAATATTAACTCGAATTCCCGCTCAACGATGCGACAACAGCGTGGTCACGGCAAGCGCAGCTTTGAGTGGATGCGCGCGCACCTACGATCATGGTGATCGTACGAATCCATGGGAGGAACCGGTGCAAGTTAGTTAGAGGCACGCA